AAATTCCTTTATAACAATTTCATAACAGACATTTCATTTTCCTGACAGCATTCAGTCAGCATATAAAAAAAAATCTGAAGTAAAATTTGAAACTGTTATCAAATTAATAAAAATAAAACATGTCACTGAAATGAACTTGAATGCAAGTCATCAAAAATCTATGCAAATATAAATACGTAATAAATATAGGTAAATATAATATATAATAATAATATGACAATTTATTAAGAGAAAAGTAGATATTACTTACAATAATACAAAATTTCATATACTTCTATGTTTTTCATAAGTTATCTCTACCTTTTTCTACCTTTGCTGTTTTGAACAAAGTTCAGTGTGCAATATCAAACCCTGAGGAGTTCGTTTCAGTATTCCTAAATAACTTTACCTTTTAGTATTAAAAATATTACTTATTGGATAATTAGAAATCTTTATTCAACTAAGGAACATGTATAATTTTAATTAATGAAAATAATTCCCCATCTTTGCTGCTTAATCGTTCTAAATGATATCGGTTCTTTAATTTGTGGAACTAAACTGTAATCATAATATTGATTTCTTAATACCTACGTAATAATATTTATGTTCACATTATTTAAATTTTAAGTTAACGTCACATCTGGTAGTCCAACAAGAAATAACATTGAAATATTGCGATTTACGTCACAGCTTATAATAGCTACAGAAAATATACTATGTATCTTAATCTTACAAGAAGTTTTAGTTTTAACTCAGTTCTTAATTTTACACTAAAAGATTTGGTTTAACAAATTTAGGTAAGAAATAAGTGTCCCTAATCGTTACTTGAGGCTTGTGATTAGTTACGGTTCCAATAAACATACCATATAGTCGTTAGTAATTCTGAATTTGCGCATTATATAAGTGTCAATTCAGTAAATTAAGTTGAATAGTTTTTTTAGAAAACAGTAACAAACCTTATTAAACAAATCCTTTTATAATCTTGTAAAAAACTCATTGATCCAAAATTAAGCATTGAAAATGTTAAACTTTGTAAAACTCTTTTAAGAGAAAATATAGTATGCTTTAATTATGACTGACACCACTATTCGACCCCTGATATTCAATATGTATGTATATTTCAATTAGTTATATATTTCCAAACATAAAGAAATGATAGCATTATAGAAAACAGAAATTAAATGAATTTAGAACAATGTTAGCATATTTCGAGGAATAGTTTTTCTGTGCATATCGTATATTCTTTAGCGAGTAGCAAATAAAGCAATATGTAATATACGACTTACATTCAAAGACCATTTTTTTTTTAATAATATTTTATTCGACAATTATATACATGATAATTAATATGTTATTGAACAAATTAAAATTATTTTCGAGTGTAGGTCGTATATTACATATAACTTTATCTGCTACTTGTTTATGAAGATACGATACATTTGTTATACCTTTTGAAACCGTCAATTTTATTTTACAAGCACTCTTACCTTTTAGTTAATTCGTTACGATTTTTTTTACTGTGTTATAAAATTATCATCGCCCTGATGTTGTAAGGAGTTTTTATTATTTAGTTTTTAAAATTTTACTCAAAAGAATAACACACTTTTTCATTCGTTTTTCAAAATGTTTATTTCAAGCATGATTTTATAAATAATTTTATTTAATTCTACTTGTTTTTTTTAATTACTTTTAATGAAACTTGAACTGTTTCTATTTATTTGCCCTTTAATATTCCCCTATTCAACTAACACTTTTCTTTAAAACGTGCAACTTTATATTGATTTTTCTTGCGTTACAAAGTCGTACACACAATGATCACTACATAATCTTACGGACTGTTTCAATATAAAAATTACATATCATCATAATTCTTGTTTTATTAATATGAAAGAAATACGGAAAGAACGGCTATTTACAAAACATTCAAGAAACATTTTTTTTAATATGATATTTACTCGCAGTATCTTTATTAAAGATTTTCATAGGCGAGATCCGCTCGTAAAATTTTATGATATCTACGCGTTATATTCTGTACCGACGGAAAGCTGCAGATGCACTGTGTTCGTGTGCATGTAATATAATGTTAAGACTATAATTTGTGGTTAAAAATATAAGGTGCAGAATAATGCAACGTCATCTTTTTCAATACGTAGATCTGAAGTATTATATATCTATTGATGACAAGAATATAAAAATGTATTAAATTAAAAGTTGATACATCTCATACATTTCGAGCAGTAAGCACTTAACTGTAGGTACATATGATATAAATGAACAAAATAGCCTTCATCAGTTTTTATTTTTTTACAACCATTTAACATATCGTAGAACATACTCAAAATTTAACAATCTTCAGAAAAAAGTAAATAGCATAGTTTAATTTTTATAAATTTAATTCATTCTGATCCTCATGGAGATAATTTATAATGAAACATATACATTCAAAATAATCTTTATATAAAATGTTCTAAAGATTTACACGATGAGCTAACTGAACCTTACACCAAACAATATGTCGATTGATTACAAATACCAAAACTGATTACATAAAGGTTTAATCGTTTCGAAGCTAAATTCAAAAATTAGAGAGTCGAACAAAACATACAACTATAAGCATATTTCATTAACAATTTTCCATTAACCATCTATTTGTTTGAAATTTGAATGTCTTCCATCTTAAAACAGTTTTCCGCTAAGCCCAATCCCGGTTATCTGTAAGAGAAAAAAAAACTTTAACAATATGTAAAATGTCACAAGCTAGATTTCATAGATTTCATAGTATTTAACATACTCGTGTTAATTTACTTATAAGGCCTCGGCCTCGAATTTTGCGGGCAGCGGAGCGGCAGCGGCGCCGGCACGGAAACGCATACATTTCTCCAAAATAGCGGGCAGCGGGCACCGCTGTATTCGAGGGTCGGTCCATTTGATTATACGCGTAAGATCCTGCCGCTCCCGCTCCCGCTCCGCTGCCCGCAAAATTCGAGGCCGAGGCCTTAGAGTTGTAGAAGCAGCTTTTAATCCATAAAATGTGAGCAAAGTTAAAAATTTTCATAAGCATATTCTATTTTCGTCTTTAATTAATGTTTTGTAGCATGAACTTGACGTTCTAATCTTATAATTAATTAAGATTTATTTTGGATTGAAACAATTTTACATTTTTAATCTGATGGATTTTTTATTAAATCTGTATAACATTTAATGAAAAGAAATTATAGTATTTTAGAAACTCGTCTTACAAATCAAACATTTTTGTCGGTGTTCATTGGTCAGAAGTCATTAACCATTAACCATTGGCATTTGAAGCGTAATTCTCAAACACAAAACTCATGAATGCTGCTAGAGATTTTAAAACGGCTAACATTGATAGTTGCTGGGTTACTAACTGTAGAATAATACAGGTTTTATAGCAAAAAGTCAAGAATGGTTAGGGGACACATGTTAAAACTTGTATCATAAATGAAAACTTCTTTATCACAGAGATTTGATTAGAGCTATGTTAAATGCATTAAATATTAAATTCTACAATATATTCCTAAATCGAAAGAATTAAAGTAAGAAATAATTTTCACTAAAAAGACCTTTGATAAACTTTTTAAAAGCAACTCTTCTATAAATGTACGGAAATAAAATTTTCTTTGAAATGGTATTTTTAAGGCAAATAATATAAATTGCAAATCTCTAACCAGTACATACATTTTAATCACTATCTCGTAAGGATGAGGCCTATCGATTGGCCTACTTTACGTTGTCATGCCTTTTTTCCTCCTTACAACTCTTATCACAGTAAGTCTTATAGGCTGTTTCGTTTGTTACTTTCTAAGTAAGTTTACTGCAGATATGTTATTTATTGGTAACATCTTTTATGTGGCAAAAAGTCAGATGATTCTTAAGAAGGTTCTTTTTTCTACATGTCATATTGTTACATTTTATTTTAACTTTCTATAATTATTCTCTGAGCAAAATCGGTAATAAATAATATATATCTTTATCGATTATTATCTCACCTTTGATTTGATATATATTGGTAAGTAAGTAAGTTAGTAATTTGATATGTATTTGGTATATATTAGTCAGTATTATCTTCTTCTTCTACCTAGCTTTTCCCAGGATAAGGATTTCCCAGCTTTAGCCAGGGTCTGCCTTACATGTTGTGAATAGTTTTTGGCTAATTGTTTTTATGACCGGCCGCCTACCTTACATCAGCTCTCTTTAGGAATGCATTAATCAGTGATGTCTAAATACTCTCAGAAAGTACATATGACTTGGAAAAATCCCATTGCTACTTGCTACATCGAACCCGCGCCCTCATGCATGAGATTCGGGCTTTTTAACCACTAGGCCACCACTGACTTGATTAGTAATTATTGTGTAAATTTGAAATATTAAAATCATCTTTGCGCGGAAGATTTAACAAACACTAGAAATATAAGACTTTCATTTGTATTTCAAGTCAAAAAATATTTTATGAGGATGAATGGCCTTAGTTTATTGCTGTTTTTAGTAGTAAGTATTCAACATTTATTCAGATAATTTACGTTCTTTTGTGCATATTACTTTAACCTAATATAAATCGTATTAACGTCTATTTTATTACCTAAATATTTTTTTAATTGTTGATGAGGTATCCGAGAGCTTGATACATAATATAGTCATTCCTTATACCTGTTTATCATTAAAATCCGAGAATGTTAAAATATCCTTTAAAGTGATTTAAAAGTTCCTCAGAATTCAACAATCAACAACCTTATTTTGCATAAAATTATTATATCAAAACATAACGTAACAGAGCAAAACAGGAATGATAAAAGTCATATAGCCCATTGGCTTATTTTCTGAATACTTAAAATGTTGGTTTGGATTCCATTTCATCCATTGTTTTCATATTAGTAAGCGTACTTTTTATAATTAAATATTCTCATATTTTCTTTATGTACATTATAAAATTTTAATCATAGAAAACCGTACTTTTGATTAGTATATATTTTTACTGCGTTTTGATTAGTATATAGCGCGTAGTGATGATAGAGCTTACGGTCCCTTGGGAAACCAACATCCCCAAAGACCATACCATCAAGGTCAACAAATATTACGAGCTCACAAACGAACTCACTCGAAATAGGTTCGTAGTAGATTTGTACGCGGTAGAGGTGGGAGCGAGAGGTATAACAGCGAAATCTCTCTACAACCTACTAAAGGACTTGGGCTTGTCCAGAACTCACATAAATGCATTCTTGGAACGTATATCGAAGGCAGCCCTAGTAGGTTCTTTTCAAATTTGGTTAGGTAGGGAGAAGAGCTTGGACAGTGGAGGTGAGCCTATAACGCGCGTTAGTTAAGGGGCCCCTTAAACCTACACTTGGGTCGCAAGTCCCAGGCACTGTTGAAGCTCCTCTCCCTGCAACGCGATGGACCCGGCACCCGCACGGTGAATCCATGGAATGCTTAGTAGTTTCGTCTCATTTAAAACGACTGCCCGGAGAGACGGGCTGACGCTGGAAAGACAGCTGACTGCCGGAAAGACGGATGACTGCCGGAAAGACGGATGACTGCTGGAAAGACAGCCGAGGGTAACGGCCTAGCAAGCCCAGCCCGGTATATATAAAGCTAAAAGTCCGAATAAGAAAAATACCCCTGGGACAGTCCGAGAGGGGGGGCGGAAGATCTGTCCACCGGTCGATTTTAACGGCGAAAACGGCGCGAATACGGACTTGAAATGCTCTACGTGCGGGAAAATTTACAAGAGACGAGCCTGGTACATTAAACATCTAAAAACACATAATGGTGTTGAAGCACGACAGTCGTCGGTAAGATCTCCAACTATCACTTCGGATAGAGTTGACCCTCATGTATCCCATGGTGAACCATTAACTGGAAACCACCAGGAGTCCATTAACATCAGGACACGTCTTAGCATTCCTAATGTAAAACAATCGACTTCGAAAGTTCATGACGACAACTTAGCGGTCCAGTTAGAGCATCCGGGCTCGAAGCAGGAATTAAACTCGCAGGTAGAAACTTTCCAAAATACCGTTTATGACTACTTTAGCGAGCAATATCCACCACGTAATCGTTATGCTCGCAAAAATAAAGACAATTCGTTCAAAATAAAAATGCGGAAGAAAAAACGGGAATTAATAAAAAATCTACGCATAGCCAAAGCTCTAGGCGACAATCACCTTAGTCATCAACTAGCTAGGGCGCTAAGGTCAATCCTTAAATTAATCCAAGGAATATCGGCGCAAACTGCAGAATATCGCGATAATTTTGACCGGGCAAAACAAGAAGTAGATTTCGATAAAAACCCCTTTGAGTATTCGAAAACCATTTTTAAGAAAGAACGCGGACAGCTTCTCTTGACCAACGATCAAATTTACGACCATTTTAAGAGCACATACGAAGTGCCTAAAAGTTTAAGACGGTATAGGGATCCAAACGATCAAAAACCTGAATTTCCTCGAATCGAATTCCACGGCATTCCACCAACGCTAGAGGAACTAAGTAGTCAGATCAAGAGGAAGTCGTCTAAATCTGCACCGGGACCCGATGGTATCCCATATATAGTCTTTAAAAAATGTCCATCGGTTCGTAAACACCTCCTAAATATATACGGTAAAATCTGGTCAGGGAAGCAAATCCCGGAGTGCTTCGGGAAAGCAATTTTTGTCCTCATTCCCAAAAAAGATATAGTTACTGATCCGAAAGATACTAGACCGATAGCTTTAACAAATACTATATCGAAAATCTTTTTCTCGGTTCTACAAACGAGAATGACGCGATTCATGCTCAGCAACAACTATTTTAGGCCAAATCACCAGAAAGGGTTTTTACCCGGGATTTCTGGATGCCTAGAACACAACACCTTGCTGTCGGAGAGTTTGAAAGATGCTAGAAAAAGCGAGCGGCAAATCACTGTTTGTTGGATAGACTTGGAGAACGCATTCGGGTCGATACAACACGAATTGATGCTATTCGCGCTTAGATGGTACAACTTTCCACCCCTAGTTAGAGATATGATCGCGTCGTATTACTCAAAATTAAGGTTTTCTATAATAACTAAAGAAGGCCCTTCAAAAAGTTTGAGTTATAATGTAGGACTGTTTCAAGGTTGTTGTCTATCTCCAATTACGTTTAATATCGTTATTAACATCTTAGTAGACAAATTAATCTGTAACGAGAAAAAATGGGGTTATCGGTTTAAGTTTAATAATAAATACACGGAATCCATTTTAGCCTTCGCTGACGATCTCGCAATACTGACACGTAACCCCAAACACTGTCAAGTACTATTGGATGAAGTGGATAAATTCTGTGAATGGACGGATGGATTGAGGACAAAACCCAGTAAATGTCATTGTCTGTGTCTTGGTAGGCGGAATACAAGATACACCTCATACGATCCGGGACTATCGTTAGGCGGTCAATGCATTTCTACGGTTACGGAAAATGCACCATTTAAATTTCTCGGTCGTAAGATTGATAATATAGGCCGTACTCCATCTTTAGAAGGAATAGTAGATAGCTTTTTGAACGATCTTAACAAGGTAGATAGCCAACTGATAAGTAACGTCAAAAAAGCATGGATCTACGAGAATTACTTAACTTCACGTTTGAATTGGCCTTTCCTCGTCTAAGATTTTAATAAAACCCTTTTGTCAAAGTTAGATGCAGGCTTCATAAAGATGTTGAAGTTGTGGCTCGGGCTCGCCCTAACGGCTGATTCATCGGCGTTATTTAGGGGAAGCAATAGTTTTGGGATGAGTCTAAAAAGGCCATCGGAGCTCTATAAACACCTAAGAGTTTCCAAGAGATATATCCTGGGGAAATCCCATGATGACATAGTGACATCGCTCCCAAAAGATGAAGATGCCCCCGAGCTAGAGTCACGACTTCAATTCCATAAGCAATTTATGATAGGAGCACAAAGTAACAGAGCGGGGTTAGGATCAAATAGGAAAGTCCAAGATGCGGATATATTGAAGTCTTTTATTCGGCAAGACGAGAATGATAAATATAAGATCCATGCAATGAATTTAGAAATGCAGAACGAGTGGTTAGACATAGGAGATTTTTGCATCCCATTAGCATTAAAATGGCGCACTTTAATTTATGATTGGTCGCCAGCATTGCTAAAATTCTACCTCAATGCGTTCCAGATGACTCTCCCAGATCAGAGTAATTTAGTAAGATGGGGTAAAAGTACCGAAAAAACTTGCTATATCTGTGGAAAGGCAGTTGGAACTGCTAAGCATCTGCTGGTGGGATGTAAGGTACTCCTGGACAGCGGTCAATACTCGCGTCGTCACGATAGGGTTCTAGAAGTCATACGTGAAGCGGTTAGTCTTTCGGTAGCCAGAGCGCAAAAGGAAATAACCACAAACGAACGATCAGTAGGTTTTGTGAGAGAAGGCACTAGGGCTACAAAATCAAACGTCAAGCCTTACTCCATCCTTAAAGCGGCGTCGGATTGGACTATAATGATGGACACGTATGAAAAGCAATATAGAATCCCCGAGGATATTTGTGCGTCGGCCTCCAGACCGGATATATTTTTGTTTTCGCGAATTCTAAAGCGCGTAGTGATGATAGAGCTTACGGTCCCTTGGGAAACCAACATCCCCAAAGACCATACCATCAAGGTCAACAAATATTACGAGCTCACAAACGAACTCACTCGAAATAGGTTCGTAGTAGATTTGTACGCGGTAGAGGTGGGAGCGAGAGGTATAACAGCGAAATCTCTCTACAACCTACTAAAGGACTTGGGCTTGTCCAGAACTCACATAAATGCATTCTTGGAACGTATATCGAAGGCAGCCCTAGTAGGTTCTTTTCAAATTTGGTTAGGTAGGGAGAAGAGCTTGGACAGTGGAGGTGAGCGTATAACGCGCGTTAGTTAAGGGGCCCCTTAAATCTACACTTGGGTCGCAAGTCCCAGGCACTGTTGAAGCTCCTCTCCCTGCAACGCGATGGACCCGGCACCCGCACGGTGAATCCATGGAATGCTTAGTAGTTTCGTCGTCGTCTAATATAAATTGCATATGGTTTAATAAATTCTTATATTGGATTTAATATTTTACTTTAATACATTCTTACATTGGAGTATAATCAATTTTAACCAACTGCAACATTTCGATTAATAAGTTATGTTGTTTTTTCTAGTAATACGCGTGTTTTAGTAATACCAACGTTTCAGCAAAATATTTCACTGACCGTGATCACGATTACTATAAAGGAACCGAAACAACAGAATTAAGTATTTATAAAATAACCAAGAAGCGCAGTATGCAAAAGCTTAGATTCTTTATTATAACTTTATTATAGAAGTGATATTAACGTTCGTATATAATATAGGATATAGTATAAAAATAATAAAAGACGGTCATAAAAGTAAGGTATTGACAAAATAATTTAGTATTTTGCAATACTATTAATGATTACCAGAAAAAAACTTCTCGCAAAAACGGAAACCAGTTGATTTAGAGACTAAGTAAAAGTGCTTTTTTATAGGGGTGCATATTTCGCTCAGTTTCTAAATTGCAATTTATTGAAAAACGGTCTTAAAAGTGTCAATTTTCTTCCAATAAAATTGTGAATTATTTTATAAAGCATTCTGTGAAGCTATTAAAAATGTTACTAAATATATACAAATGAGTTTCAATATTTACAACTAAAAATAGAGATATTTTTAAGGTCATTATAAGCTCATGAAGTTCATATGTTGTGTTAGCTAAGAACCAAATTGTTAGGAACTAAAGAAACAAAAGGTTGACTTAGATTAATGTTAGACTTGCAAAGAAGTGGGATGGTACATATTTTTTTTAAATATAGATAAAGTCAAGTTTGATTGACCTTGTTTATTGCGGAAGTCTAGTCTTGAATTATGAAAATTATTCTCAAACTTATTCGTTTCGTCAGAGAATATTTTGTACCTTTGTAAAATAGAAAAGGAAAAACTTTTATGTTATGTATTACTAGTATGTTTCTTGAAATTATTACAAATACGATATACCATGTTTTTCTTCTCAAAAATATATTTATTTGTTAGTACGATGTCGGAAAAGGTTATAAGGACATGATAATTTTTGTGTACAAAATATTATAGTTGAATTTTCGTAACGATTCTGATACATCCGGTACAGATAAAAATAATATTTAATGAAGTGAAGAATTGTTGGACCTAAGATTGTATACTGATCTACAAAGTTATGCTTTACAAATTTATTATACATATTGTAATAAAAATCGCGACACTTTTTTTTTTAAAGTTACCAGTGTTGTGTTTAATGTTCCAGCATGGAAATAACAGTAATAAGAGTGAATAATTTCCAGAATTGTACTCTGTCATTACTATTATTATTCTACATGTAACTGAACTACAATCGACCTGAGCATTAGGAAAATCTAAAACTATTAACAGTAGGTTACAGTTACCCATAATAATATGCATGCCATATTACCCATAATAATTATATACACATATTATAACCATGCTAATAGAAATATTAAAAAGTTATCAAAGAATTTAATTTTCTTTGTTTGAATTTTGTAAAAATCTTAAATACAAAAATAATATTTAAATGATTATTAATAAAGATTATTATTTCACTGGATGAATGGAACTATATGTATACAACATTCAATTTAAAGACACTATATCATTAATTGTAAAACAGACAATTGATTGACAATTCCTATCTACTTTAATATTGTATCCATTATATTCAATATTGATTGCTAGTTTTCAGTAAAACTTGTGATATTACCATCATCAAAGCACATTGTTCGTATGTTGAATGAAAAGTGACAATACAGACTCGGAGCGTAAGTGAGATTGGGTCGAACCTTTGTCATATTTACAATGAATCATTTTATATTTCGAAAGTGTATATGTATATATTCGTACCTACATATTCGTAAAATGACAATTGCAATAAGTTAAACTTTTAGATTATATTTTATGCTTTGTAGATATCTCATCATTAATAAACCTTTTATTATTTATTTTAACATCTTTACCGAATTATTTGAGACAAAATTGGAAACAGGTGCGGCTTTAATCATAGTGGAATCAAAAATATTTACCATAGATTTAAATTTTAAATAATCTTAAGTCATACCAGTGGGATGACATATTTTGAGATAAATAATCAAAAACAGCTTTATATCCAAAGAAATTTATTCAAATCCAATTGAATATCGAATGCATCATATACATTATTGACAAGAGCACAATAATTATGATTAATAAATCATAATTATTGTGCTCTTGTCAAATATGGGATCATTAAATAACAAATTAAACTGACGGTATTTGTATTAATATATGTTTGTAATAAAAGTTTAAAATAATATTGGGTCAACTTAGTTCCTTGAGGTATTCCCATAAAGCTACGGTAAAAAGGTGTGATTGACAGCCATATAAATATAAGATTATACAATATACAACTTACTAAATATGATCCCAATCAATCGTCTTACAAGAAAACTTTCTAGGCTATAATGAAAACACCAATACTAATTCTTCAACAAGCGAATCGATTGCATCCAATGCCTTTTTCAAGAAAACACCAGTTTATGATATACATATGTACATATAGTCATCAAAAGTCCAAATTGTCCACGGCCTTTCATGTTGCCAACAATTGCGAAATTAGACATTGTGGACTTATTGCTATTTAAACAATGTTGCTTTTCTATCATTAATCAATTACTTAAAATGTTTGAAAAGGCTCATCATACAAAAAGCCTACCTGCATCTTTCAATATCATCATCACTTTTGCTTTTTTTCATTAAAGTTGGAACTTACTGATTAAAGGTGACTTTTTTAAAATAAGGAATTACTGGTTTTCTGCAAGGTTAGAACAGCTTTTATTGAATAATTATAGTATTTGGACCTGCTCTTTTATTTTTATAAGAATACATGCAGTGTTGACATTTGAAAAAGCATTTGATTATATGGAATAAATTATCTTATAATGATTTGAAGCATAATAATAATATCTTGGGATCGTTAAATTTTTTATCACAGAAATGTATTGCATTTGTACAAGTGTGATTATTCAGAGTTGTCAATGCAGAACTTTAACTGATCTGAAAATTTGCCAAGTATCAAGTAAATATATTTAGGATTCAATTCAATATCACTCTCGACTTTATCTATTATTTAGTAATATTGTATAATTTTTATTTTCATATTAAAGTAAAATGTTTATGATTCATATACATATTTTAAGAAAGTAACAAGTCCGTTTTTATTACTCGAAATAATATCATATTAAACAAATAGGTCGTAATAATTGCAGTGGAGATCGTAGCAAATAAATTTAAAGTATATTGTTGTAGTGAAATCCATTATGTTAATGGAGAGTCAGGCTCCTTTTAAATGCCATAAAAATTTCAAACCATGAGATCATATGCAAAGGGATTAAATCGTATTCACATTTTTTAAGGGTTTGCGCAAAAAGCATTTTTTAATGTAAACATAGTATAATGAAAAATTTAAAACCTTTTTTCATCCTTTTACTAAATTTAAATAAAATATTTATACATTTATCAAAACTTTATATTATTGAGAACTTTCACCCTTTGAAAATAGATTACAAAATATTGAATAAGTTCTTGGGAAACTTGTTTCGGTTTTTTTTTCTCATTTTTTATTATTTGTGTCTTCTGAGAAATCTTTTAGAGAATTTAAAAGGATTCCACGTTACTGTTTTGCATAATGGCTATGACTGAGTTACCGCCAAGAGATACAAGTAAATCGGTAATTCCATTGCCCTTAATTAGAATGAATTTGAACTAAAATCCCAGTCGTAAAGATTCGTTGCGGTGTTTAATTTTCAAACAATTACAAAAATCTAAAGAAACAAATAATTACAGTGCTTTTTTAAAAAATACATAACTAAATTAAAATCATGAAGTTGTGACGACCTAGTGGCCAAACGTGTAAAAACATACAAGAAGGAATACATATTAATATATTGATAATGCGTGAGGAGTGATGCATAACCTAAAGAAAGTTAAGATTCTGGTAAAACATATTTTTTGAGCATAAGTTACAATTAGAGTTATATTTGAGATTCTGTTGAAGTAGGGTAACATTTTACAGGATTGTTTAACATCTTGAGGAAATGTATAAAATATTCCTTCAGCAAGTTAAAGTTTAAGATTTAAATAAATTGGAATCAGAATATTAAGTGAATGGGGTATAGGTCTTGTCTATAAAAATATTAAGTTCTGATTAGACTAAAAACAGCTAACCTAATACGACTACCATAACAAAAGTTAATAAACGTACAGGATTTTTTCTATTAATGTAATTGCAACGAGGTTAAACGTTTCTTACACCAATATAATATTACTACCATTATTTGCCTAGCTTCAAGTTATACTTATGCAATTATGCATAAGTGATTAAACTTAAAAAAAATTCAACGCCTCGGTTATTTTGAATGTCCAGAAAAAACCTTTAAAGCTAAATATATTTTTAACAATTTTCCACATTATGGCTGCTGTCAAATAGTTTATAACATTTCTTTAACCTAAAATTTTGTTTAAAAGAACGAGAATCACATTTATAATTTAATTTTAAATCGAAAACATTTTACCAAACGACTCAGGGAATTCAAATATTAAGTTCAAAAGTAAAGGTGGTTCATAAAAGTGCTTTATATTTGATAAGGGTTTATTCACCGTACGATATAAAAAGAATTACAATTTAAAAGATTCAACCGCAATGGGGTTGAATACTGAGGATGAGAATGTGGCTTCTCTCTGGTGAATTTTCTTTCTATGCAATGTATTTGATATTACATTTTTGCAATTCTTCGGCTTTTCTTTTCATTGTCAATCTTTATTTTTTTGCCATGTTAATATACTTCATAAATCATACATATC